AATCCCAATGCTGAGCCACAAATGTCAAGGAAAAATAAAAACTCACTTTTAGTGTATTAGTGTTGTATCGCATAGTATTAACTATTGTATAAATTTTGTATTAATAAATAAAGATGCGCTAAATAAAAAAATATGAAATGGCCGTTTTGCTAGTCCCTCATAATACATTAACTTTATATCTGAAATTTAATATACCTCCGAGTTTAGTCCCACCGGCCCCCAACCACCCCCCCCCCCCTGCAGCCTCTCAAAAACTCAAAAGAACACTCTTGCCTAAACATCGGTACAATCCATGCATTATCTTTGTCATCCCGAAATTAAAAAGACATTTATTTATATTCTGTCGCTTTAGATGACAAATTCTTTTGTTCTGTTTGATTATTTTGCCGATTCTTATTACACCACAGCACTTAAATCTATGTTATACCCAATACAGGCTGCATCCTAAATGAATCACGAGTTGGTACAAATATCGAGACAAATATCTAACGCAAACATGCATTTTCTTGTCTTGATGCAAACTTTAAATTCTAGTAAATTCAAATTTGAACACACAAACGTACCTTTAACAGCATCGACGTGCTTCTTCGATTTCATGTGGCTTTTCACTGCTGCTTCTCCCATATTTTGAACAGCGAATGTCTTTTTGCATGCTTTACATTTTGCCTCTGACGAAGAACTCCCGCGTTCTATCCACTTATTATACTGCGGGTTACTCAGCCAAGCATCTTGGAATTTGCATTTTCCAGGCATTATATATTAAATCTGCTTGAATGATCGCTCAAGCTCATCTTTACCTCGTGGCAGGCCTGGTCGCATGGCGATGCTGGGACTCGGCCCCAGGTCTCAGCAAAAACGTATCACACGGTATCGGGGGAAAAATGCGCGTTTGTCGTTGCAAACACGTAAACAAGGAATAGTTTATTAAACAAAAACTTGTGAAAGCAAGGAATTTTCTTTATTTTCATCTCGGTTTTTGCAAAATGTCAAATTATAACAATTTTCCATGACTTTCCATGACTCTGATCGAAATTCCATGACTTTCCAGGCCTGGAATTTTTTTTTCGAAATTCCATGACTTTCCAGGTTTTCCATGACCCGTACGAACCCTGTAAAGTTTATAACTATCTTTCAATTCGTCGACATCCTGAGCGGTTTTCTTTTGACTTTTTTCCAAACTTTCTAGCTTCATCAGGATGGCGTTCAACTTCGACTCTTGTTCATCTTTAGCGGCGAGCAATTCGTCCATCTTCGCAAGTACTGCGTCTAGCTTCGCTTCAGTGTCAGGCATTTCAGTTCGTTGCTTTGCTTTCGACCTTGTTCGTCTAGCAGACATTCGCTTGTCACCAATTAATAAACTCAAAAGATTATAACGCGGTCATAGTAACCTATTAGGGATCAAAATTTTGAAAGTTTCATAGAGAGAGCTCGGAGCCGCGTCCGTTCAGCTTGGCGTCATCACGTGACCCCCCGACCTAACAGCTAATCGATATTCATTTTCAGTAACCTTTAACTTGACAAGCAGTTGCTCAAAGGATATAGGTTCACCTTCTTTCATATCATTTAATTGCCTGTTGATTGTTTTCTAAGTGTCTTTGTACTGTTTTACTTTACTTTGTGGTATGTCTCCTTCTAGAGGATAAAGAATTTCAGTTGCTCTCATAGGAGGTTGTGGGTATTTAAATCGACATTCATTCTTTGATTTCTTCCTACAAGTGTTACAATGTCTGTGAATTTGTCTCTTCACAAGTTGATATAATTCTGTATTAGCAATTGGCCACTGACAACTAATTATCTTATCAATGAACTCTGTAACAACAGCATCATCATCAACTCCAAACACTGGTGCACTTTCAAGCCATATAAGCATGTGTATGTGGGGTGAACCCCGCTGATTTTCCTAAGAGAATTTTCATTTGAAGCTTTTTTGTTTTGAAGAATATATTTTCAACACACATAGCAGCTCTCCTATCTGATCGTCTTAGTTCAGATTTACAAATGTCGCTATAATGAACATTAGCTAGTCTATCTTTATTTTCTGGTCGACTTTGACCAAAGAAAATATACCAGGATATGCTAACTCTTCAGAATATTGATCTCTGAATATACTTAAGGGTTTGTTTCCCTCTCATGGTGCAACTTTTAAAATACGTTGAGGCTGACTGTGGTCAACATGGTGTCAGTAACACCAGCAGGTGTTTCTGCTTCATCTTCAGTCCACTGATCATCACTATCATTACTGTCATTTCCATCTTGCTTATTGGAACCACTGCTCTTTTCTATTTCTTGTAATTGTTCACTTTGATTTTCAGTATTAGTATCATCTAATAAACAGTTTGCAGTATACTGCACTCCCCAACCTTCATTTAGTGCTATTCCTTCCTGTCTGTAGAGGCTGCTGTTGTTGATTAGCCAATTGGCTGCTTGAACAACTTTATGTGGTCTAATATTGAGAGACAATGCTGAACTTTTGTATTGCAATTTTCTCTTTAAATTGACTTTAACTGTGCCAGTATCATTAGGTAACCTTGGTAACATATTGACAGTATCAGACACTTCTGCTGGCACATTTACAACATTTCCATGTATTTTAAGCTGCCTTCCTCTTGGAGCTTGCATTAATTTTTGAAAAGCAAGTCTTGGAGCTATAAGCCTACATTCCAATTCATTGAGGTAAAAAAACTCTGGTTTTTTGGGGAATTTCATTCCATTGAAGACAGCCACAGGTGGAATTTTATCCTTTGCCAAGTAATTATGACATGTTCTACACAGCCACTCTTTATTGTTAACACTTTTCGAGTTTAAAATATATTTTTCAGCAGCAGGGTTAGAATATCTTATTTTAGCAGCTGGAAAAACACTGTGCTTATACCACAGCTGATCACAACAACTACAGATATATAATGGGCCCTGGGAAACAATGTTATGAAACCTTAAAATTAAGGCAGCAATGCTTCGTACTTTTTGCCTTTTTGGTTTTTGACATCGAGTTTTTTCATTCTGTTTAGTGGTGGAACTTTGCCTTACATTGTCATATTCATACCTTTGATTCTGTTTACTAGCCCTTCTGGTACGCTTGTAATTTTTCATGTAAGCATTCCATTTATTTTTCTGCTTATCAGTTGTATTCTGTTTAGTCACTGAACTGTGTATTTGATTGTTTCTTTGATTCCCTTGATATTTTTTACTAGCCCTTCTGGTATGCCTGTAATTGTTCATGTAAGAATTCCATTTCTTTTTCTGCTCATCAGTTTTATTCTGTTTAGTCACTGAATTGTGCGTTTCATTTTTTCTTTGATTCCCTTGATTTTTTTTATTAGTCCTTCTGGTATGCCTGTAATTGCTCATGTAAGAATTCCATTTCTTTTTCTGCTCATTCGTTTTATTTTGTTTAGTCGCTGAACTTTGCTTTTCATTGTTTTCACTGCTCTCAGTGCTTATCCTAATATTCTTCAGATCAGAATTGTATTTTCTTTTTCGACTACTATTTTGTACTTGTTCAGAAAGAACATTTTGTTTGGTGAAATTATTGATATTATAATACTTATTGTTACAGTGCTCATTTCCCGAGCAAGAGCTATTTGGTACTGTTGATACATTATGTATTTCATCAACATGACCTATATATATTGTTCTTGGTTGCTGCTGTGATGGATGATGTGGCTGTATCAAAGTTACCTGTCCAAAATTTACATTTGATTCTATAATATAAATTTGTATATTTAGTGATTCTGCAACTGCTTGTACAGTTAGTGCATCACACCACGTACCTTGCATTGACATAATTGTTAAGTAACCATTCCATGAATTCTGAGTATTACTTTCAATGAAACGTTCAGGGTTATGCCTAAGATAGTGAACAGCAGCTTGTGTGATGCGAAAGTGACTATTGGGATTACCATACAATTGATGTGATACTGCCCTAAAAAAGCAGTCGCCTGCACCACCCACATCAAGAGCTCTCAATCCTAACTGTCCTAATCGAAAGTTAAGCAATGTTGTGGAGTCTACTGACATTCTGGTCTGGTTGTCCACATTTTGATCTGGGCCTGGATTTAGTTCAACATCACCCGATGTCAAAAGGTTTATTCTTGATACGGAATATCTTTTGGTGACGCAAGTTAAGTTTTGAATTTTATGTGAACAACAGCAACTAGTTTGCTTTCTTTTTTGTGACAGCTTCTTTGTTGTCAGTCTATTAAAAGCGGCAAAATGAGTAAAAAAACAGTTGCATCTGTGTAAATACCTTACATACCATAATTTAAAGTCAGTTGCGAAGCTGTATAATCGTGAAGATTTAGGGGTGTACTTTTTAAGAATGAACTTAAGCTTGCATCTGACTTTTCTCTTTTTCATAGTATTTATTATCTTTTTTACTGGAATCCTAGACGGTTCTCGGTCTTTACGTCGTTTCACTTCTTTGACTGACTTGGAATGTTTCAGCGGGGAGTGTTCATGGAATTCTCTGAATGATGGCGCTATGCCAACGATGGAAACTCCCACATCAAACCTTACAACTGTATGCAAAGATCTGTTCATAGCGATGCTTAGATAGTAATTATCATGAAGAATACTAGTTCTAGGTTTCTCTCCTCTGTATAAAATCGCCACAGCTTTCGCACATGTTTGTCTAGTGATAGATGTTTTTACGTGTGTAGTGAAATACATGTATCTTCTGCCAAATCCATTTCGTAAACAGGGCATATTATATCCCGCATTGGGCTTTGTAATCCCCAAGTGAGGCTTAATAATTCCCTTAAAGGGACTTTGCATTCCCCAAATGGGGCTCATAAAGCTTATTTTGCGTCCTGAGCACTTGCAAAATGGCCAGGCGGTGATTGTGTTGGTGCCGAGAAAGCTTCAGTTGATTTACAAATTCAAAGCATCTTTCAAAACCTTTCACTCGGCCGTAATGACACCCAGTGTGATTGCTGTGGCAAAATGAGAAAACACCTTTTAAGAAATCCATTACAAATATGAAAATCGAAAAGATCACTCAC